GTTTCCTGACGTGAGGAGTGAGGGCAATGATGGTAGGGAATACCAAGTGGAAGCCACTCAACTGCCTCTATCTAGAAAAACAGCACACCAAAAACAATACTGCATTCTTGTAGGGCTTGCAGAGATTAGTACCACCATCAAGGATTTGAAGGAAGCAGAGGTGGTGCTTTTTATCACATACCCCTTTGACTCCCCTATTTAGCCTGTGGAGAAAACAGATAGATCTTAGAGAATGAGAGTAACTTACTGAAAACTTAATCAGGTGGGGACATCAATTTCAGCTGCTGTTCCAAATGTGGCTTCATAGCTTGCGTAAATTAACATATCCCCTGGTACCTGGTATGCACTTATTGATGTAGAAGATATTTTTTCCCTGATATCTGTTAGTAGAGACCACCAGAAATAGTTTGGTCTCAGGTGGCAAGCCCGCAATACACCATTGTCCTACGTCAGGTGTATGCCAACTCTCCAGCCCTATGTCATAATTTAATCTGAACAGATCTTAATTGCCTTTCCCTTCTATAAGATATCAATCACCGCTGGTCCATTACATTGATGACATAATGCTGATTGGAGCTAGTAAGAAGTAGCAACTATTCTAGACTTTATTGCTAAGACATTTGCGTGTCAGAGGTGGAAAATAAATCCTACAAAAATTCAAGGGCCTTTCACTTCAGTGAAAGTTCTAGGAGTCTAGTGGTTGAGATATCCCTTCTAAAGTGAAGATACCCCTTCTGAAGTGTTGCATCTAGCCCCTTGTACAACCAAAAAAAAAAAAAAAAAAAGGGGGCATAATACCGTTAGGCCCTCTTTGGATTTCAGAGGCAACTGCTAGTTTTAAGCCCAGGATAAGAGTGGGCTCTGCAACAGGTCCAGTCTGCTGTGCAAGCTGCTCTCCCATTTGGGCTTTATGTCCCAGGAGATCCAATGGTGCTTGAAGTGGCAGTGGCAGATAGGGATGCTATGTGAAACCACTGGCAGGCCTCAACAGGCAAATCACAGAGTGGACCCTAGGACTTGGAAGCGTGCCGTCTTCCGCTGGTAACTACTCTGCTTTTGAGAAGCAGGTTTGGCCTGCGTCTGGAGCTTAGTAGAGACTGCTCGATCATGGGCCACTTAGCTGCCCTGCAACCTAAGTATTGTCTGACCACCAAGCCATAGTTAGGTATGCAGAACAGCACTCCAACATCAGATGAAGTGGTATACATCTGGTCTTGCGTATCCATGGGTTTTGCATCCGTGAACCCTTGCAGTTCAAACTGTGTGGGATGCAACCACCGGATAGAAATTTTCTTTTAAACAAAGGATAGAAGTAGCTGTGCTGAACATGTACAGACTTCTTTATCTTGTCATTATTCCCTAAAAAAGTACAGTGTAACAACTACTTACATAACACTTTCAACGTGCTAGGCATTAAAAGGAATCCAGAGATAAAGTATAAGGGAGAATGTGTGTGGGTTATATGTAAATACGACACCATTTTATACAGGGAACTTGAGCACTGGTGGATTTTGGTATCTGCAGGGGGTCATGGAGCCAATCCCCCATGGATATCAAGGGATGGCTGTTATGTGTGATGGGGCATGGGGGGCTGAAGGCACAGGTGTTACAGGAACAAGTGGTCCCAACACTGACAGTCCTCAATCCTACTACATCATGTTTTCTTTCCCAGCCCACACCTATGGGAGTTCTATCATCATTTGGCTGAGGAAGAGAAAACTTGGGCCTGATTTACAGATGGTTCTGTACAATATCCAGGTGCCAATCAGCGGTGGATGCTGCGGTATTACAGCCCCTCTCTGAGACGTCCCTGAAGAACAGAGGTGAAGGAAAATAAAACTTTCAGCAGTGTACTTGCCTGTTCATTGTCCTTGGGAGAAGAAATAACCAGATGTATGATTATATACCACTTAGTGGGCTACAGTTAATGATTTGGCTGGGTAGCCATGGACTTGTCATGAACATGATTGGCAAATTGGTTATAAAGTGGTCTGGGGAATGCATATCTGAACAGACCTCTCCGGGTTAAAAAAAAAAAAGAGGTGAAGATATTTGTATCCCATGTGAATTCTCACGGAGGGGTGACCTCGGCAAAGGAGGATTTTAATAACTGAGTGGATAGGAATACCAATCAGCCTCTTTCCCCAGCCACCCTGGGGCCCATGAACAAAGTGGCCCTGGTGGCAAGGTGGAGGTTAGGCATGGACTCAGCAACATGAGAATGTAAGCTCCAAGGGAGGGATTTAAAATTCTGGTATAAAATTCTGTAACTGTTTGCTTCACTCTTGTGTCCCCCAAGCCCAGCCCAGTGCTACACTGCTGTTGCATAGGAGCCCAATAAACAGAGCTGACCATTGAACAACATGAGTTTGAATGGAGGGTCTACTTATACACAGATTTTCTTCCACCTCTGCAACTTGAGACGGCAAGTCCAACCCTGCTTCTTCCTCCTCCTCCTCCTGAGCCTATTCAATGTGCAGACAACAGTGATAAAGACCTTTACGATGATCTACTCTCACTTAGTAAATATAATTTATATTCCTTATGATGTTTTTAATGACATTTTTTCTCTAGCTTATTGTAAGAATGTAGTATTGTATAATACATACACAAAGCATGTGTTGACTGGCTGTTTATGTTATCAGCAAGTCTTCCAGCCAACAGTAGGCTATCAGTAGAAAAGTTTTGGAGGAATTAAAGTTACATGTAGGTATTTGGCTGCACAGGGATTGGTGCCCCAACCTCTGTATTGTTCAAGGATCAACTGTAACTGAATGAATGAATACACTGCAGAAAGAGAACATTGTGAAGCTTAGTCATAGTTTTACTTACTAACTTACTTAAAAATAATGAACATTTGTGAAATTGTTTACAATTGAGATATACATACAAACAAGTCATGTACCACGGGAGGTTTTGGTCAGTGACTACTGCAGATACTATAGTGGTCCCATAAAATTGTGATACTCTATTTTTACCACACTTTTCTCTGTTCAGATATACAAATACCACTGTGTTACAACTGTCTATGGTATTCAGCACAGTGACATGCTGCACTGGTGTGCAGCCTAGGAGCAACAGGCTGCAGCATATAGCCTAGGTGTGTAACAGGCTACACCATCTATGTTTGTGTCAGTGCACTCTGTGATGTTCACGTCACGATGAAATCACCCGAGACAAATTTCTCAGAATGTATCCCCGTCATTAAGCAACACATGACTGTACATATACATTTACTAATATTTATTTTTAATACAGAGAAGTTTTTTTTTGCTTTTTAGAATTTTGTATCCGTTAAAAGGGAAATAAATTTAGAAAACACAGTTTCAACTTTTGCAGGCAAAACACACACGTGAAAAACATGTCGGGCTGAGGGGATGTTTCCTAATTACTGAGTCCATCGCCTCTAGTATGATGGCCAAATGTCATAACTACACTCCCACATCAGCAGACTCCTCCCTCTTAATATGCTGAATCATTTCTATCTCACCCTTCCTTATTTTCTTTGCAATTCAAGTAGGAAAACAAACAATTTAGATGTTTGAGTATAGGAAATGCTGGTTAAGTTTGTGCTTCAGACTAGATTTTTCAAGTCTACTGGATTGTTTGAAAAATGCTTTTAGACAACACACAAGGTTTGTAACTTTTCACAAGTTTAAAATATTTCAAAGGTCTTTGAAAATTATAAAATCTTGATTTTAGCTTTCTGAGGGGTAGTGTCTTGACAGATTTGAAATTTTATTATTTGATTAAAAAGCCATCGCTCTTTCATTCAATTTAGTGCTTAGATGTTTCCTTAGAGCCTTGGGTTGTTGTTCTAGGAATCTGTGGAGGATACCGAGTCAGCCTGCTGCTGCAAAGGCAAAGGAATCCTTTCTCAGAGAAAACTCAGACTGAATCTGCTACGTTGGATTTTTCAGATGGCTATGGACACAGGCTATCGAAGCGTTTTGGGATATACAGTCCCTGTATCTCCCATTGCCTTCACAATGGATCACCTCTCAATTAAATTTCACCAGCCCATCCCCCGAGTTTTCTTATTTGGCTGGAAACACGGTATTTTTAAACACACACAGGGCTCTCCATCAGCCTGCAGAATGTGGGTATATCTTTACTATTTTTTCCTGCTCATAAAAATACATGCTTTCCCCTAAACAAGTTAAAGAAATTAATTGCCCATAATTCACCCACAAGTTTGGTGTACTTTCTTCCAGTATTTTAAATATGCAAAGATAGAGTTTTACTTGTATTTACTACCCATGTAACTATATGCTTAGCCTTTTCTCCCCCCGTTTCGAGTTTATTCTGACCTTTTGCTTGTGATCTCTTATCCATCTTCAACCAGAGGCCTCTTTCTGTAGCCCAGCCTGATCTCTTGCGGGCCCTGAACATATTTTTCTAGCTATTGTCAATTGCCTGAGATTTGTTAACCACACCAGTAAATTTATTTTTGCTAACGTTAGTTAACAAAGAAGCTTTTCTAGAAGAGCTAGGTGGAATATGTCATCAGAGACTTAGAATGAAAACAAAATAGCCCTGGCAATCTACTTGCACCTGATTCTTCCTCAGACTGCAAGGTGGTCACCAGCAATTCAGAGAGAGGCTCCAATAACAAGCAACTTCACTTTTTGTCACAGACCCTAACCATCTTGAGGTTATGTGTCAAAGGAAGAAGACATCTCCCTTCCTCCTATCTAAAACCTATGAATCTGTGCCTATTCGCTTTTCTAAAAAGTCAACTCTTTTTCCTTTACTAAAAAAAAATTTAGGTTTGTCCTTCCAAATTGTTTGTCAAATTTTGGTAGATTCAAGAGTTGGGTCACACATAGTTCTGGGAAGCTGACATAAAATCTGTATTTTTATAACTAGAAGGGCCAGGAAGCCACCCAGCATCTTTCTCCTAATACATCATGGAGTTATTAACTTGGAGTTATTATTTCAGAGCTCAGTTGTATTTCCTGACTACACAAAAAGCCAATGCATTAAACATAGAAAAGGAACACCTTTACATATGAATTAAAATTTATTTTAAACTGTTTTGTATATCTTTTTAAAAAATGAAAATTCACAAGTCAGAATTAAGTAATGAGTCTTCAATATCATAAAGTAGTGGTAACATTTTACCCTTGTAAAAATGTCACAGAATTCAAATCACAACTTGGATCCTCAATGATTCAAGCGGTTCATCTTACACAATAAGCGTTTGGTTTCAAGATAAAAATCCCCCGACATGCTGTCCTTAAGTCCTTCTTCCTCACCATCCATCGGCTCACACGATGGGGTAGCTGGCTGATGTGGCAATTCCACAGTGGTTGTTCTTGTCTTTGGCGATTTTTATATAGCCATTCAAGCCCCATTCTGGACCCCAGCTGAAAGAGGAGCAGGTTTTCCATTTTATGCAAAGAATCAAAAGAAAATTAGCTCCATTAATAATTATAGCTAATACTTAACAGTGCTTCCCATGTGTCAGGCACTATTAAGTGCTGTTAATATCTATTTATAAATGTATTGAGGCCGGGCACGGTGGCTCACAGCTGTAACCCCCGCACTTTAGGAGGCCAAGGCAGCCAGATCACTTGAGGTCACGAGTTTGAGACCAGCCTGGCCAATCTGGTGAAACCTCATCTCTATTAAAAAAACAAAAGTCAGCCCAGCACAGTGGCTCACACTTGTAATCCCAGCGCTATGGGAGTCTGAGGCAGGTGGATCATCTGAGGTCAGGAGTTCAAGACCAGCTTGACCAACATGGTGAAACCCAGCCTCTACTAAATTTAAAAAAATTTTAAAAAGTAGCTGGGCGTGGTGGTGCATGCCTGTAATCCTAGCTACTTGCGAGGCTGAGGCAGGAGAATCATCACTTGAACCCAGGAGGCAGAGGCTCCAGTGAGCCAAGATTGTACCATTGCCCTCCAGCCTGGGCAACAAGAGCAAAGCTCTATCTCAAAAGAAAACAAACAAACCCCACAGAAATTACTGCATGTGATGACGCATGCCTATAGTCCCAGCTACTTGGAAGGCTGAGGCAGGAAAATCACACGAACCCAGGTGGTGGAGGCTACAGTGAGCCAAGATCGTGCCACCGTACTCTAGCCTGAGTGTCAGAGCAAGACTCCATCTCAAAATAAAATAAAATGGGCTGGGCACGGTGGCTCACGTATGTAATCCCAGCACTTTGGGAGGTGGAGGAGGGTGGATCACATGAGGTCAGGTGTTAGACAGCAGCCTGGCCCACGTGGTGAAACCCCAACTCTACTAAAAAATACAAAAAAAATTAGCTGGATACGGTGGCGTGTCCCTGTAGTCCCAGCTACAGGCAGGAGAATCACTTGAACCTGGGAGGCAGAGGTTGCAGTGAGCTGAGATCGTGCCACTGCACTTTAGCCTGGGTGACAGAGCAAGACTCCATCTCAAATAAATAAATAAATAAATGTATTGATTATTGTGGGTCCTTAACTTTTTAAGATACTGAGGAAGAACTGGAATTCCAATGTAGCAGTCTGTCTCCACATGCTACCTTATATCACATCTCAGTTAAAGAATGCTAATTGTGAGAAAAATAGATTCTGACAACCTTCAAAGCCTGAGAGCTGGGGAGTGAAATTCGATGATGGGGCACCCAATGCCAATAGAAGGGTGCACAGACCACTAGATTCCCGCATGATCTTTCAGACTTAACAAAGAGCCAGCAGTGGCAGGTGTTTCTGCTTACTATTCCTTGTTGAAAACTTAGAGACAGAGAAAAGCTATCAGCTCTCAAACCTAGAGGTCCACAGTGCTTCCTCTGAAACCCTGGAGGCCTAATGTGTTTCAGAATTAGAAAAATTTTTTAAACTTAGTAATAAAATATGACCAACACATAGTAATAACCCCAAAAAGCTAAACATTAATATTTCTGTGTTCACTCTAAGTAGAAGAAAGACTTCTGGGATCTCAAAATTGAGCTTTTGTGAACTTGTATCCAAATACTGATTTGAAATAAAAATTCCCTTTTCAATTCAAAATATAATACTTCGAGTTTTATACCTGTTTTTGATGAGCCAATACTTGTTGTCTTTTGAATTTGCTCCTTCAACACCGTAGCCAACCACCAGAACACCATGATCTAGGTTTTTGCTGCTGCACTTTTGTTCAAAATAAATGCCTGGGAGAGTAAAAATCAATGCTGGGGGGAGAAGCTCCCAGTGACATGTGACAGTAACTCACCCTACCACCCACTGTAAGGGAGGCATCTCTAAATTCAGTGAAATGTCATAAACAAATATTAAATAAGGACCCAAACAATATTGGTCAGAATATGGTAATGGCTGATAAAGGAAAAAAGTCAACCTCATCTCACTAGAAATCAACTAACTTCAACTAATGTTCACGATATTTTCTACCTAAAGAAAAAGAAAACCCAAAAGATAAAACTTATTGTTTACAGCTAAGGTGATTTAGAGATACTTATCTCTGAGCCCAAATACCAATCAGCATAATTCCTTTCTACTCCTAGGATGTCAGTCTAAAACAGCACCAAAATAAACAAACAGAAACTTGAAGGGGGTTATTTGTAGTCCTAATTACAGCAGTAAAAAACCTTGAGAAAAGTAGGCCCAGCAACTGGAAAATCGTTTGGAAAATTAGGTTGTCTCTATACAATTACATAGTCATTTAATAATATTTATGAAAATTTTAACATAACTAAGCATTTCTCATGTCAAATGGAAACAGCAGTATGTTAAATGCACACTCTCAAAATACTACATTCCTGCAAAGCAGGACTTCACATCAAAGAACCAATCATGGTGGTATTGCCCAATTCTGCTTAAATTTCTATAATAAAATGACAAACACTTACCTGATTTGTAGAACTGGAAGGACGAATGGCTTGCATCAACAGCAACAGAGATGGGCCCCACAGTTGCAACTGCCTTCATCAGTTCCTTCTCATGATTAGGGATCACCACGAAGCCGGTGTCATTAGCAACAGAATTCTCAGGTTTGTACTTACAGATTCCATCCTTTAAAAGTTAAAGGGGGAGAAACTTGATCAATACCATCTACCTCCTGGGGAACATCAGTTCTAGAACCAAAACACTCAGTGATTTGCAACTTAGGATTTCCAAATCAACACCCTTATAAATCATTCCAGGAAACAAAACGCTAATTGTTGATTTGAAACTGAAAAATTAGTTGACATTTCTTCCATGTGAACCCCTAGGTCAATCTGTCCATAAAAAAATTCTCACAGCTGATAAAGTTCTATTATTTATAGAATAGTTTGCTTATTCTTCATGTTATGTGGAAGCAAGAACAGCTATGTGTTAACCATCTAATGTTAGCTATGTGTTAACATTAGCTGTTGACCATCTAATCAGAGAGCTGTGGAAAGGTTAATAATTTATAACGACAATACTCACAGTTTATAGATGTATATTCTACCATCTAAAATGTGAATTCTGAAAAAAATATCTGTTATCACTGAAAGGATTCCACTTTCCAAAAGCAGAGCATGAATAACAAGATAAGGAGCTCCATTTACCTTTGCTTCATATGGGTAGGATGCCTCAGAGTCCAGGCCTCCGTTCTCCTTCACATACCGGAAGGCATAATTCATGAAGCCACCATTGCAGCCCTGATTGCCTTGATGACGTGAACAGTCCACCAGATTCTGCTCGCTCAGTGGGACAAGCTTCCCCGTTTTCCGGAACATCTGTCCTTCAAGAGCACCAGTAGCACTAAACGCCCAACAAGAACCACACTGTTTCTAAACAGGGAATAAAAAAGCTGTCAGTTTACAAGACCAATACAAAAACTGACAGTAGCCCATATACCTGAATTATCTGAATTTTCTTTAAAAACACCCATCACCATATGTTGTGCCACCATCTACCAAAGCAACGATACCAATTTTCTTCTTGGCTTTCCTGTGGAGACCGGAGGTCTGAATCTGACGCTGTCTCACCTGATTCTTCACTGGAGTCACGTAGCCTTTCTTTCTCCAATCCACAGATTTAGGGAGATCAAGAAGCAGAGGCCCACGGAACACTTTTCCGTTCTTGTGTTTCTGGTTTCGAAAGCAAATCATCACCTGCCTGAATTCTTCATTGGTCTTCAAGGAGAAGTAAATAAAATGTTAAAAGCAAGACTGTTTTGGTGAAGAATTGAGGGGAAGCAGCACAGAGTTCAACAATCCTCGCCACACTCACCATGTCACCAAAAGCATTCATGGCCATTGTGAAGCCATGTTTCCCTTGGCTGTATTCCCCATTGTGCAGTTCAATCATTTTCATATTCTTTTCCCACACGGCTCTCCTCCAGCCTTCTTCATTCTGGAGGCAAACAGAAAGCTGATGGACATTATGTCTACTTACCCAACCCATGCTCACCGAGCCGATCTGTGGGCAGAAATGGGAGAGAAATCATGGCCAGGGATGGCTTGATACTTCAGCTGTTCCCTAAGCCGAGACACAATGGAGATATATGCCCATACTGCATTCATAACGGGTGCTGTTAGGTTATTGCCTGGTAAGGTCTGGACTCTAGAAGCTACTCTCTGGCTGTCAACTCGGAACAGCAAGGACCATTCTCTCCAGAGTCCCTCTGGACAGTTTCAGATGTTACCAACCGTGCTGTATAATCTCCTGTGTGTTGCCTTCCACTGATACCACTGTGTATCTAAATTTTGGTCAAATTTTGGAGCAGCATAGGCTATTCCCAAGCAAAAGGCAGCGAGGATGAGTGAAAGATTCATATTTCAAAAACCTAGAAAAGGAAAAGAAATGAGTATCTGATTAGATGAGTCCAAAAAGCCATTTTACAGCCCCAGTGGAATAAAAATATTTCTATTATTCTCCTTAGCATTTCCCCAAAGACGGTGGAAGAGGCTGCGAGAAACAGGCCAAGTCAAGGTATTTGAAGGGTCCACCAAAATGAAAAGCAGGCTGCACAGAGTTCTAGAAGTTGAAACAGCATATGCGATAATTTAGGGTATCAGATATGAGAGGGGTGTGAAGATACCTGACGGGTGAGAAGTTTAAGGCAACAACTAGGAAACTAGGAAACAGTTGGTCCAGGTGTTGCACCAATTGTACTGAGGTCATCCAGGCAAAACCTCACTAATGAGGACACACCATCCCAAGCAGGGGCAGGGTGATCCCCAAGGAACAGCACCTCACAGGTTCTTGGCTGATACACATCAGGAGATGAGCGAGGTCTTCCAACCTCTCCTCCTGGAATGAAAGCTTTCTGGAATGCCTTTCCAGGATACACTGGGAAGGAGAGCACTCGCTGCTCCACCGTCCCACACTTGGGTCTGTGCTACCAACATCCCCACTCACTCCCCTAAACACTGACAGGGTCACGAGGCCGCGCCGCTGGAAGGCAGGGGCCCCAGGGCCAGGGCGCAGACCGGGGCAGGCAGCTCACGGGGCTCTTCGCCAGGCCCCCAGTGGGAGCTCCGGGCGGGTTAGGGCCGGGGCGGTGGGCGCGCTGCCGGCTCCCGCCCTGCGCACGCACCGGCCACGTCCTGAGGATGTTTGCGGTGGTGCAGGGAGCTGGGGCTCCGCGGCCGGGGTGCGGCGGTGAAGCCCGCAGAGTGACTGACCTGCACCGCCCGGGCCCTCCCTGGGGTCTCCAACCGCCCTCCCCGGTTCCCCACTTCGAGGCTGGCAGAGCTCGGGGCAGAAGCTCTCACTCCCAGGGGTCGCGCCTGCCTCCTCTACCTTGTCCCTCTAGGGGATTCCCTCCTCCAGTCGCTGTTGGCCCTGCCCCTCGGTCTGGTCGGGGGCGCTCACCAGCAGCCGTCGGAGATGCGCAGACAAGACTGAGCTTACAGCAGCTGGCGGTTCTGGACCAGGTGCGCGCGGCTCGGGATTTAAGTTTCCAGGCGGCCTCCCCCGCCCCCACCGCCTGCCCGCGCTGCGATTGGCTGCGCCGGCCACTGGGCGGGGCCCCTGGTGCTCTGAGCCCGCACGTGACACCGCCCGATCCCAGCCTGTCTCAGGTCTGGGCGCGCCTGCCTCAATGGACCCGGGGTCCGGGGAGCGGAGCCAGGAGCCCGGGGGCTGCGCGGAGGAGGGGCAGGCGCCTCCCTGGCGGGCTCAGATCTACTAAGTATTCTGACTTACTACGCTGCGCGGGTGGTTCCTGGAAAGAAGTTTACAGCGAGCACTGAGTGGCATTTCAGCCTAACCCTACTTTTCCTTAGCCTTTGAGTTTTTGGTGAAAGTCTGCAGGGCCCGGAGCCAGGGTACTTAGTCCAATGGCTCCTGTTTAGTCCACGGCGAAGGTGGGGCCGAGTGGAAGAAGGCACAGCCCCCCGCAGAAGCATTACCTCCCTCTTAAGGGCGGGTGCAGCAGGGCTTTAGAAGAATCTGGTAGGGAAAGGCACGCCCAAAGCACGGGATGGGATGGTTGAGACAGGACCCCAGGAGGGAGGGGATTGGCTGGTAGGGCGTCCAGAGACAGCGGGGCGTTTTGTCGTGCATCCTTTCCAGTCTCTTGCATTCAGGGATTCTTTCCTCTCCCATGTCTTTCAATATCAAAAAAAAAAAAAAAAAAAAAAAAAAAGTTACAGAAATATTTGGTTAAGAAAAAGGAGAAAAGCGTTGAGAACGGTGAAATTGCGTTTTTGTAGTGATGGAGTCTGGCTATGTGTTACCTTAGGCAACTCTTGAATTCCTGGCTTCAAGCGATCCTCCCTTCTTGGCCTGCCGAAAGTGCTGGGATTACAGGTGTGAGCCACCACTGCCAATCTGAGAGTGGTGGAAACTGCTTTTACTTCCCTACTGTCTTCTTATGGGTTACAACGTCTTCCTGAGTATTCAAAGGGTGCTTCTTCTGAGATTTAATAAATTTACTTTTAAAATATTTAATATCAGGGTTGAGGTGAAGCAGTTTGAGGAACTGCTCTTTATGGAGAAATATATATAAAGATTTAAGGAAATCATTAATAATTCAGAAACGTTTCTAATTCTTTTTAAAGTTATATAAAAAACATGCATTATGGAAAATAATGTTTTAGAAAATAAACATCCCAGTCGGGTGCGCTGGCTTATGCCTGTAATCCCAGCACTCTGGGAGGCCGAGGTGAGTAGATCACCTGAAGTCAGGAGTTCAAGACCAGCCTGGCCAACATGGTGAAACTCCGTCTCTACTAAAAATACAAAAAAATTAGCTTGGCATGGTGGCGGGCGCCTGTAACCCCAGCTAGCTCTGGAGGCTGAGGCAGGAGAATCGCCTGAACTTGGGAGGCGCAGGTCACAGTGAACCGAGATCGCTCCATTGCACTCCAGCCTGGACGACAAGAGCAAACGTCTGTCTCAAAATAAATAAATAAAAACATCCCTTGTCCCCTCTCCATAACTCTTTTCTAGGCATATATATATATATTTTTTTTATATAAAAATGAAGTTATAATGCATATTGATTAATAAACTTTTTTGTATTTTAGGTGGAGTCTCGCTCTGTCGCATAGACTGGAGTGCAATGGCGCGATCTCGGCTCACTACAACCTCCACCTTCCCGGTGCGTCAGCCTCCCCTACAGGCACGCGCCACTACGCGTGGCTAAGTTTTATATTTTTAGTAGAGACGGAGTTTCACCAGGTTGACCAGAATGGTCTCGTTCTCCTGACCTCGTGATCCACCCGCCTCGGCCTCCCAAAGTGCTGAGATTACAGGCGTGAGCCAAGGCGCCTGGCCGATTAAACTCTTAAAGATTAAAGTGAATAATATCCACGGTTTTTATTTGTTAATTTGAAAATTTGTTAAATCAACTTTAGCCTAAAGCTGCCTCCCTATGTGATTTAAATTTGGCCTAAAGCTTTCTCTGTACATAGCGAACTGTAACCTAGATGGAGGTGTAAACAGACTGTAGCCTACTCTTGTGCCCATCCACGAGTTTCTGTAAATCAGAGGTTCCGCTGTTCAAACCAAGTTGAAATAAGGCAAACATGGTGCTGTAACCAATCCTGCAGTTTCTGTGCTTCACTTTCCCTTTCCTGACTATAAATCTTCCCCCACATGGCAGCACTGGATTCTCTCTGAGCCTACTCTGGTGGAGGAGGCTGCCAGATTCACAAATCGTTCTTTGCTCAATTAAATTCTCTTAAATTTAATTTGGCTATAGAATTTCTTTTTACAAATTAAAAACAAACTGACAACTTTTCAGAAGCACAATCAGGCAAATACATGTTTTATAAAATCAATTTATTAATAGTTATGCATACTTTCTTTAAAAAATTGCAGCTTTTTCTGTGTCGCTTGTGCTGGAAAAAAGAAAAGAAAAGGGAAAAAAAAAATGGCAGCTTTTCCCTCTCAAACACAACTAGGGGCCAAAGCTCTCAGGTGGTTATATAAAAAGTATAAAAGTATATCGTATTGTAGACCAAGATAGATGGAGCTCCTGAGCCTAGGAGTTTGAGTCCAGACTGGGCAACATGGTGAAATCCTACCCCTACCAAAAATAAAAAAAATAATTTAGCCAGGCATGGTGACCCATGCCTGTAGTCCCAGCTGCTCAGGAGACTGAGGTGGGAGGATTGCTGGAGCTCAGGAGGTGGAGGTTGTAGTGAGCTGAGCAGGGCATGCGCCACTGCACTCCAGCCTGGGTGACAGAGTGAGACACCTTCTCA